CAATTTTTTTCTTTCAAGGTTTTATATATGTCATCCTATTGCCTTTTAGCCTTCATGGTTTCTGCCAAGTAATCAGAGTTTAGTCTTTTGTTTCTCCTTTGTATGTGACTTTTCGTTTTTCTTGAGATGCTCTCAGGATTCTTTGGTTTTATCGAGTGTGATTATGATATGCCTTGGTGATTTCCTTTTGGGGTCTATCCAATATCGGGTTCATTGAGCTTCTTGGATGGTCATCTTTTCATCTTTCATGATATTGGGGAAGTTTTCTGTCAGCAGTTCTTCAGTGAGCCTGTCTGTGTTTAGTTTTTTTCACCTGTTCAGGAACTCTGATCACTCGAAAATTTTTGCTCTTGATTGTATCCCACAAAATTCTCAGGTTGTCTTTATTTTTGTTCATTATTTTTTCTGCTTTTTCCTCAGAGTTGTATCCAAGTGTTTGTCTTCAATTTCGCTGACCCTGTTTTCCGTTGTTTGAAACCTGCTCCTCAGCTCTTTTGAGACTCTGTCGATTTATGAAATCTTGTTGTTTATCTTTTGGATTTCTAATTGTTGTTTTTGTTTGATTTCTAGTTGTGAATTTATTTTGGCATTTTGTTCCTGTATTGTTTTCCTGAATTTTTCAATTTTTTGGTTTATATTTTCCATGAATTTGTCTATTTTTTCCTCATTTTTGTCTGCTTTTTGCTTCAATTCTTGGATAGCTCTGAATATTAGAGATTTGAATTCTCTATCAGGTAGAGAATCTTTCTTCTACTGGAAAATCATCTGATGATTTATTTTGGATGCCTACTGTAACCATTATATCTTTTTTTTTAATGTTTTGATATTATCTGTTGTCTTCGAGATTTCAGTAGTTATTTTCTTCGTTTATTGTAGATATATCTGTTTTATCATGGTTTTTTGTTTTATTTGGTTATGTCTGAGCACACGGGCTGTGTGTTCTTTGTTGTCTGCTCATCTGTGGGCATGATACTTTTCGCCTCCTTGTCCAATGGGCAGGGTCAGTCACTCAGTTATGGTGCAGTGGGGCAGGTCCAGCTGAAGGGGGTTTGCTGGGATGGGTTGTTTGTGGCACATCCTAGGGCTGACAGGGTGGGCCGGGAATCAGTGCAGGGCAGGTTCTGGTAGGTCGTGCCTGTGCTGCTAGGGTTTTGATGTTCAGCACATGGTGCAGGTAGGCGGGAAGAAGGGGGTGGATTGTGATGTGTGGAGCTAAGATGGTTATGGGAAAGAACAGAGAGAAAAAAGAGAGAACAGCTATAAACAAAGAGAAAAAAGTGCTAAAGGATCTTGTCGTTGGAGTGGAGAGATGAGGCACTGAGAAATAGAGAAAAACAAAAAGGATAAACAAAGTATTAAAGAAAATAAATAAAAATTAGAGAAGAAAAGCCCCCAGGGATCCCACTGATGAAGCTGCGAAGAATGGGGAAGTGGCTCCCAGGCCGCGAATTACAGCCTGGCTAGAAGAGGTAGACTGTCACACAGTACCAGCTATTCAGGAGACAGGAAGAGAATGTAAGTACAGAGAGCTGAGAAAATGAGAAATGACAAAAGACAGAAAGGGACAAAGAGGAAAAAGAAAACAAAAAAAGAAAAAAATGCTCCTAGGAATCGGAAGTAGCTCCCAAGCCACACAGTACTGCCCAGCTAGAAGGGGCTCTCAAGCAGAGAAAAGAAAAAGAAAACAAAGAAACAAATCAAAAGAGATCAAATAAAAACAAAAAAGCCCCGGGGATCCCACCAGCATGGCAGCGAGGGCCGGGAGTAGTTCCCCAGTTATGTGGTGTTTCACAGCCTTTCAGGAGGAAGCAAAGATGGTACACGGAGCCAGGTATTTTAGAGAAATTAGGGGGAGGTGGTGAGAGGTATGGAAGAAACCAAGAGAAGCAGAAAAAAGCAACACCAGGAACAAATAAATGGCACTCAGGGAGCCGGCCAATGTGGGTGGGTGGAATCCAAGCAGCACAGGGCTGAGGTCAGTGCATCCTGGCCAAGAGACTCTGGCCCCAGGAAGCAGAGGAGGCCAAGTGGGGGTGAAGAAGGGTGTAGGGTGGGAAAG